AAATAGTTTTAAGTATTGATTCGAACTTACAGTCTGTTCTCAATTATGTTTCCACATGATTATAATATATAATAATATATTCTACCACATACACACAACGCCATCTAGTCCCAAACTAAGCAGAGCTTGTACTATGGGTACTAGACAACTGATATAAATACGTATATACTTTTTTTTTTGTAAATACATACATATTATACATAGAAACACCCAGACCAAATCAAACATCAAATGTTCATGCACACAAACGTTTGACTTGAGCGGGAGTCGAACCCGCGACCTTTGGAATAGCAGTCCGTTACACAAACCACTACGCCATCCAGTCGTCAAGTCGATTGACATTATTATTCCGTATTAAACAGCTAATTATTCAAAAAATCATTTTCTTTTACAAACATAATTTCTGAGAATTTGTAAATAGTATAATATTGGCTAGTGTAGCAATGTTAATATATTAACAAGCTTGTTGTTCGTCCAAAATTAAATATAGTAATTATTAAAATAAAAGTGACTCCACGACGTTCAAGTTATTTATCAACACTCGTCATGTTGAAATGTCAAACAATGTTTTTATTTTTATATTTCTAAAATTTATATTACTAGAATAATATTATACTTTTAACATAAACCAAAAGGTTGTAGTGATTTTAAGTTAAACTAGTATTGTGTGTGTAAAATGTGAATTTCATATCAATTAAAGTAAATTCAAGTGAATTGATTATAATATGGCAAGTAACTCTTTTGTAAATAAAGTAAAGTAAATCTTTCGTAATCATTCAGAAACAAATCACACATTAATTTCCCCTAAAATGCCCTAGAAATCACCGCTTGTGACTAGTTTTGGCTTGTCTCACGTAAACAAAGATCACAGCTGTCAAAATCTACACCTGACGAAAGATTACGACATGAGCATCGTATAATAACCTAAAACAACCTATCACTCACTTGAGTATGGATCGGAGAATCTCGTTTTAAGTGACGTTCAATAATAAAATCTCTACTTAAAATTAGTTTTAAGACTAGATTCACGACTGAGGGAGACACCTTTTAACTTTTTATTAAATATTTCTAGATTTTACAATATTTTTTATAGTGTAATGAAGATTATCTCTATCTTTTCCTTACCTATCTCCGTATATATATATTCATTCCTAAGTATATTCTTACAATATTTGAGCGTCGGTATTTGTACACGTATGGTGACGTCACATACACACATGCGTCATTCACACTCCATTACGTGAAATCACTTAACCCTGTTATTGCTAATTGAGATAAATTATTTACTCTACTTAAGAGGATAACGGTGCTTATTGCTTTCAATAGGTATTCTAGAGGCTTTTGCCAATCTAAATATATGCCTCCCAAATTGACGGGGAAAACAATTATAAAGTCGGCTTTGTTTAAAACAAAAATAGAAGGTTCAGAAATAAAAAGTTGAAATATAAGTAAAATAGCTGCTATCTTATAATTAACATTATAGTTTGTATAGTCTTTTACACATTGCGGCATACTATAAACGTTGTTTTTAATAGTTTTTTAGTTTAGTTTATCATATATCTAATTTACTGGTAGTGTGATAGTAAACTACTGTTACAGGCCACACGTTTTAATTGAGACTACCGGTATTCAGGGACACAGATTTTTGCCTGAGTGTAAATATTTTTACATAAATAACGACCCAAATCTTTTCTTTTCTTTTTCCCCTCGTCAAAAGTTGAAAAAGGGTCTTGTTGAAGAAACACTTGCTACCTATCAATGACCCTTGAACTTAGTTCTGACTCTTTTGTCGTTTCCAAGAGCCACTCGTCTCCGACGAGCTGTTAACGTCAAATAATGCGTCTAATTACTTAGAGGGTAGTTTTGTTTTGGCGACAGCGAGGAGCCAGATCCACCCATAAAGCAGTCTATTCACATAACGACACTGTGGATCGACACGAGTCGATTTTCTTTATGTCCAATAAACAAAATGGAGCCGTCTGGAGGGCAAGAGCAGTAGTGAAGGATTAGTGACGTGTTATGGTGAAATTTTACTGCAACTGCGGTTAGTCTAGAGGTATCTGACAGATTTTAAAAAGTCACCCATAACTTTTAAACAGAATGTAAAGATTCTGATTATTAATGGGGGGCGTAATACATTTCACAAGGTTTTGGCTGATATCTGTTATGGCTGGTGAAATTAATAAATCGGAAGCATTTCTAGTAAAACCATTTCAATGATAGTGCAATTTTAAGAATTTATGGCAACTTCATTTAAAATAAAATTTGTCTGACAGATAGACACACCGCATTGAGTAAGATAACACATGCAAAATTTAAATAATACACATTGAAAAATGTTCCCTCATTAATGTGTTTCTGAAACTTTAATTATCTATCAAACATTATACAAAGCAAACGAAAACCTCATATTCTTTGTTTACTGTTATTTTTTAACTTTTATTTTTGTATGCTGTGTTTTATGGAATAAATCATTTTCTTTCTTTCTTTCAAAACGGCGTATCTAATGGTTGGTAATTGGTTTATTGCATTTTTAAAGTCAGAATGAATTGTTTCACATTTTTGTTTTTGTACTGTTTATCGGACTATCAAATTGTTTAAACGTAAAAGCTACTACGTAACTTCTTGTACTTTGACTACTAATTCTAAATTTGCTTAACTTGAGGTTCGCCGATTAAACATTTGGTCGCATATAATGAATGAACAATAAATCACTGGCTTTATGGATTTTAAGCGTAAACTAAATCTGATTATTCACCTATTTCATAAATCCGACTTTGATAAAGTGCAATTTTACAAGCGGCATCAATTTTTGCGTACTCATTTTACGGTTCCTTAATGCCATATCAGATACCGCTGCCTTTTAATAAATCTTTTAATTTATATGACAAGAATCGGCGAAAATAAGGCCATCCACTGATATTGCAATACAACTGCTATTGTTTTTTGTTTCATCCTCGCAATTTGCGATTCTTAGATACACAGTCTACAGGCACGATTTCCAAACTTAATATCTCATTTTTGAGAGGAGAGAGCGAGAATGGGAGGTACATAGTTAGGTTTGTCTGTTTAAGATCAGTCATTCACTATGTGATATTCAGAATAAATTTAAGGACTTTTAGCAATAGCGCATGAATCGTATTTATTCAATTTATGTTGACACATTTTTATATTCTTTTGAAAGACTCTTGCAGACTAGATGATAAATGTTGTTTAGGACATATTTTTTTCTGCAATTGGTGTTACATTATTGCAATGGTGAAGATGATAGAAGATTAATAGGCAACTTAGTGCAAAGCAATAACCTGTCAAGTGCGAAATGGTTCATGTAAGTAGTTTAATCTAAAGTCGATTACACTTCCAAGCAACTTTACTTGCGTAAGTGCACATGACAAGACACTCGGCTAAATAACCCCTTCGGTATGAATGTGAATGCTCCACTACACGCCCTTTGATTAACGTTTCGAATGGCTCTGAAAGCCGTGCTTACAATTTTCATGGCGTATACTTGCTCTCAAGTAAATAAAGAGAGCTTTGACGGGAAAATATATTTTTTTGGATTCTGACATCACATGAATGGGTCCCGAAATTTTCGGTTACGAAGATCACAAGAGAATCTCGAATGTTTTATTTTTTATTTAAAATTACAGAATAGGCTTTTTTTGGTACTTTTTGGTTGGTTGGTGTCATGTCTCTCCAAACAATGGTGTTCGGAGGATCCCTCTATTGTAGTAGGGGAGCCCATTAATCTAAATGGGGATTTACTGGAGCGTCATGGAGACCTATTGCAATTGAATGAATAAAAGCCATGCATATATGTTTCCACTTTCAGTGGGTGGAGGTGGGTAAATCTTCTACAGGTTTTCAAAAATGTAAGGGGAGGAAATCGAAAAGAAATTCGGGCACATCAGATATTTTGGGGATATGTTATTTGGACGCCTAAAATGCTTTCTTTGAAAGGTCTGACGATTTTAAAGTGACACAAGCTGGTAGCGATTATCGAAAATGCAAAGTGCAAATTCGACCCTTGATGTTCCTGTCACACTACCCAAAAATCTGACGATAATTTTGCAGGGTATTTTAAATCTGACGGTTTGAAATATATTGATTTTTTTTATGCACAAATAAAGACAAGAAAAAATAGGTAGACATTTAATAAAGGTTTCGTTCTTTGCTTTAAAATAAAAATAAAATGTGTTTTTTGGAAGTATGTAATTGACTCGACTTACCTTAACCTTGCACTCTCGAGTATTTCTGGCCATTGTTTTTTTTTGCTTATCTGATGGGCTGTCCTAGATGACCCCCTTTATATGTAGGGCTCATGTATTGTGGAGGTACTCAACTGAGTGTAAGGTATTCCTTCTATGTTAATCTGACACGCTCAAGTAAATCCCGACATCCCTTCTAGGGCTCCCCTACTATGAGTTAAAGGGACATGTCCACAATTTATTGGATAAATATTTAAACTGGTACATAGATGCATAGTGAAAATCACAGCTTTCAACTATAATTTTAGTCCTACTTATGTAATATTTAAGGATTACAGTTAATTAAATGGTAAAGTTGGAAGATATTGTTTATACGGATAAGTAAGGCTGTTGGCGAAAAAGTAAACTGAACTCTCAAATTTTTATTTTCAATATTTAATGTTCATCTTTTATTATTCTCTTTAGCGCTAATCCAATGAGATGTAATAACTTTTCTTTACCCTAAAATCAACAACCAGCCCCGAAAGACCCTAATTAACATTTTGGAAATCCGACATCTTAAATCGGAGCCAGCCTCGGAGCGAGAGAATCGGTAATAATTAACTTAGCTAACTCAGCATTTCGTTTCTAATTCATTTGGCTGCTGGAACCAGGATTACGGCCGGATTGATGCAAATTGTCGGCGACAAACTACGGAACCCTAATCAAGAACAATTGGGTACGATATTGGATTTGTGACGTCACTGGACCGTACTGAATTATGTCTCTTTTGTTACAGGTCCTCTAGGCTCGATGCGGAACGTGAGCAGCGCAGATCTTGGTCTGAAAGAAGGTTAGTTATTGTGTTATAATAATATAGTTAATTATCGATTTGGTACGACAACTTTCTTATTTAAAACTAGCTTTTTAGCAGGTTCGTCGCCCCCTCACCCCTCCCTAAGAATTAGGGGCGAGTTTATAAACAAACAAACGTAAAGTTCGAATATATATATATATATGGATAATAATATAAAAATGGTATATTTCTTCTCGGTTTGATGTGATTTCCTGCTTTGCATCATAGCACAGAGCATGATATCAACAACCTATAATAGTCCACTGCTGGACATAGGCCTTTCCTTAGAAAGGAGGAGGAGGAAAAGGTCATACTCCTTCCTAAAAGGCCAGCAACGCGTTTGTGACTCCTGAGTTGAGAACGTTCATGGGCGGCGATGGTCACTTTCCATAAGGTGACCCGTCTGCTCGTCTGCCCCCTCTAACACAAAAAAAAACTTAAATTTTGAGGACTAGGTTGAAGCTTATGCCATGAAATGGTATGGTTTTGTACAATGTCCATATCGAGTTACGAATTTTTCTGTGACAAAGAAACGAATGACAAACTTTAAACGAAAATGTTTTATTCAGTTTGCTTTTAAATAGTTCTCAAAGGAAGTTAAAGAAATCCTATATCTGTCTTTGACATGTATACCGGGTAAATATTTACTAAGTGTATTGCAAACCATGCTTTGTAATGAATTCTTCACATAATATTACAATTAAATTGTTCCCATTTCATTACCACATTACTTCACAACTTATTCTGGGCCTTGAGATGATATTTTTTTTTTTTTGTAAAACTTTTATAAACATGAATTAATGAACCTATTGGGGTCGAAATTAGTTTGTCAGGGGTCGAAATAAGCAAATACTAGTTCTAAAAGGGGTCTAAAAATCGACTCCTATTGATGAACACAAGTTCTTTTTTTAATTAATTTGCAACTTTCAGGAAACTAATAAACTAGAAACTAATACAACTAATAAGTTGTGCTACGTATACCAACTTATTGTAAGAATGACTAATATTGTAGTAAGAAGTATCATTATTGTACTTTTTAAAATTTTAATAAGTCGATAGGCGTGCAGTAATTTGGCTGGTCTGAGGTATCAGTTCATTTTAGAAAAGGGGTCTCTTGCCCGAAATAGTTTAGGAATCTCTGCTTTATACCGTGTGAGTGAGATTACCCGAGCCCAAACCCGCCCCCTAAGTTTTGGGGAGGAGGGGACTCAAAAGATAGCAGCGCTCTACTATGAGTTGCAGAGGTCCATGGGTGGACCCGTCTGCTCGTTTCTTCAGAACGGTAACTTCGATGAGTTTTGTGGGTTGTGGGGTCTGGGTGTTCTTTGTGTCCGTTTCATGCATGTTAGTGAAGTTCCTCTCGACACAGGATATGATCCTAGTGCGGGAATTGTCTTAAAAGAAATCTAGAGTACAACCAATTTAACATAGAAAGATTAATTAATCAGTTCGCGAAGATATCACGTAACATAGAGAAGAAAAAATCTGTCCAATTAAATACCTCCTTTAGTATTTACTGTTAAGATGGTATCATAAAATTAAAAAAAAAACTTGTTGTCTTATTAAAAATGAAAATCAATAAAAAACGCAATGATAGGAGAGTAGTTCTAATGTTTTCTAATATTATACGAGTATATTAATATTACGTGGCTTAAGCGGTCGCCACGCGGCTCACTACTACGCTAAGTGCTATGGGTCCGATCCCCACATGGGACGACACTTTGTGTGATCCACAAATTGTTGTTCTGAGTCTGGGTGTTCTTTGTGTCCGTTTTATGTATGTTTGTAAAGTCCCCCGCGACACAGGATTTATTCCTAGTGTGGGAGTTGTCTTTAAAAATATAATATATGTATATACCAGCTGATACCCGCGACTGAATGTGAAAAGCGCTGCCTTAGTGGGTTCGATTGTTCGACCCGGACTGGGTAAAATTATATAGGGTTTTTCTGAGTGGAAAAATAGCCTAAGTTACTCCTCATATAGACAGCTACCTGGTAGTAAAATATTATTAAAATCAGTCCAGCCGTTAGAAAGATTAGCCGGAACAAACAGACAGACAGACAGACAAAAAAAAACGGTTTTTAGGCACAGGTATCCTGCAAAAAACCCTGTGAGCATGAAAACAACCTATTATTTTGACATAACAAACAGACACTTCATTTTTAATTATTGTGGTAGCTAAATGGGGATTTACTCGAGCGTCATGGGGACCTATTGCATTTGAAAGTTTAGGTAATAGAATGAATAAAAGTCATATAATGTTTCCACTTTCAGCGGTGGGAAAAGCTACAGGTTTTCAATAATGTAAGGGAAGAAAATCGAAAAAAACTATTCGGGCGCATCAGATATTTATGATCATATGTTATTTGGACTCCAAAAATGCTCCCATTAAAAGGTCTGACGATTTTTAATGGACCCCAAGCTGGTAGCGAATTATCGAAAGTGCAATCTGCAAATTTGAAAAATCGCCATTTCGAAATACCCGACAGTGTAGATTTTATACAGACGGTTCAGCTTGATGTTCCTGTCATACTAGGAAAAATTCTGACGATAATTTTGCAGGGTATTTTAAATCTGACGATTTAAATATTTGAAATATTTGTATTTTCATAAAATGTGACAAAGGCACGAAAAATTATGTAGACATTTAAAGAAGATTTCTTCAATTGTTTGCTTCAAAATAAAAACTAAATATCAAGGTAATGTGTTTTTTTGGAACTTTGTGACCTTCCCACTGCTTTATGACACGTTTAAATCGTCTGTTTTTCTTAGGTCCACACTAATGTGCATGTAATTGTCTCAACTTACCTTAATCTTACACGCTCGAGTATTTTTGGCCATCGTTTTTTTTTAACTAATCTGATGGGCTGCCCTAGACGATCCCCCCTATACGTAGGGCTCATGTGTGGTGGAGGTACTCAACTAGGTGTAAGGTATTCCTCCTATCTTAATGTGACCGAAATCTCTTCTAAGGCTCCCCTACTATTTCTATATTAGTATATTCTGATATTCCAGGAAGCTGCGCATTGGGCGACGTAGTATATATGCCGGGTGATGAGTTCCCGGGTTCAACTCCATGCGAGACATGCATGTGTGCGGCCGGCGATGTAAAATGTTCCCGACAGGTCTGCGAGCCTCGACCAGGATGTAAAGCTCTCCACCGACCAGACCACTGCTGTCCTACATATCAGTGCGGTTGGTATTATTTGTATTCTGTCATAACGAGTGTACATCTTTAGATATATATGATACATGCACGTAAGATATGTAGGTCACCTTAGTTGATCAGATGATGACCCTGGTAAAGTCTTCTATCACAGGAAAAACATACGGGTACACGACTCCTGGGTCTTCGAACTGGTACAAAGTCAGTTCCGCTTCCTAATCTGAGACCAGTAGTATCTACCAGTCTGTTTTATTCGCCAGAGTCATCTCATGAATTTTTTTAATGCTACAACTAGTAATCCGAATTTCAATTACAGAAAAAAATTATATTTCCAGAATGCGAGCAAGAAGGTCGAGTATATGGTAATGGTGAAAAGCTGGTAGATCCTGTGGACCCCTGTCGCGTGTGCTACTGCCAGGGTGGGGAAGTGGTGTGTCGCCGTATTGCATGCTTCGTACGCGACGATTGCACACCTCGCCTTGTGCCAGGCCGCTGCTGTCCAGAGTACGACAACTGTCCTCTCAGAGGTGAGCATCACAATAAAGTAATGCGAAAAGCATGATCACAATGAAACAAATGACAACCAACCAATAAAGGACCATGGCCAAGGAGTGAAGCATGGAAAGCGTAGTGGTTTAAGCGGTCGCCACGCCGCTTCCCAATGCGCCGAGTGTTGTGGGTTCAAACCCCACATGGGACGATACTTTGTGTGATCCACAAATTGTTGTTCTGAGTCTGGGTGTTCTTTGTGTCCGTTTCATGTATGTTTGTAAAGTCCCCCGCGACACAGGATATATTCAAAAATTTAAAAAAAAAAATGAATTATGGCGCACTATACTTTGATGGTACTATGTTAGATCTTTGATCTTGGTAGGGTATGAGGTCAATAAACCAGCGGTTAGATTAGATTATTGTATTTGGTCATAAATTAAAGCTTTAGTAATTATCATTAGCAATTTTATAGGGAGTTAAAAGAAACTAAAAACATCTTAAACTACACCGCTTCTTGTAGGACCATTCATCTACACTATAAAGCTATCTAGAAAAATACATTTTATAATACATTATCATACATTTATAATTTCAGGTGTCACGAGTTTACCCGGCTTATCATCACCGATCCCCAGTGTCTCTGCAGCCGCAAATGATGCTCCCGCAGCGCCTCTTCGAGAGAACATTAAACAGGAAATCACCATTAAGGAAATTACTCCTGTATCTGAGATCCCTGTCATCACCGAGGTGAAGATTAAGGAGATTCTGCCTTCCCCCAGTATTGAAGTAGCCGAATATTCCTCATCTAAGTCTCCACTTATACCACGAGAAGCAACCTCTGAAAAGAGCGATAAAGAAATTGATTCAAAGACTGATTCACCTTCGGTGGTAGAAGTTCACTTCTCCTCACCTGCATCAGCACCAGAATCTACTCTATTTAGCGGTATTGAAAACAAGAATGAAAACGCACCGCCATCCAAAATAAGTTTATCAACTCAAGATTCCATGTATCCGTCCAAAGTACCAATAGTAGCATCGATGGGAGTTCCTCCTGTAACTTCGGAGCCCATACCTGTTACCACTACAAAAGCACCAATTATCGAAGAAGAAGACACATTTGATCACAATCCGGCATTCCCCCCACTTCCCGATGATTTAGCTGTTTTAAGAAACCATGAGGATGAAATTGTACCGGAGCTCGTTGTAGACAATGAGCATGTGTCGATCCATGATACACTAATAGCTAGTGCATCGCCATTGTCGGAAGCGGAAATGAAAGACCTGGAACCACACCAACCGATGACCTCTACTACAAAAGATCTACTTGATACGACCATTACGACTAAACCAGAGACACCTAGAACAAGTCCAGAAATAACTACTTTACAGTCTGAACTTAGAATAAGCACCGAAGGTGTTAACTTTAAAGAAAGTCCTTTGCTTAACCTCAGGTCAGCTATTCCTACAGAAATACTGAATGCACCAGCTACGGTACCAGAAAAAAATAAAGAAAAACTAGACGAGACTACTACTGTAAGTGAAGGAATAATATTGCCAATAATTACGACAACTGAAACACCAAATATAGTTCAAGACATTTCTGAAAAACTTGAAACTTCCACGAAAATTGAAGCAAGTACTACCGAATCGCATTCAACTCCTAAAGAAATTCAGACAATTGCTGAAGAAACAAAAATTGATCCTGAAGAATTTAGAACGACTTCTGAAGAAGTAAAGACAACACCTGAAGGAATAAAGATATCTTCGGAAGAAATTAGCACATCAGAAATTAGCACAATAAGTGAAATTGTCACACCAGTCCCAAAACTTGACAGTACTACCGCAACAAGAGCAATATCTGAGATGGAAGGAAGAGCCAAGGAAGATGAACAAACGACTAGCTCCATTGCAAAGTCTAATATCGCCACCGAAGTTACATCACAGACCGAACTCAGCTCACTTCCAATCGAGACTAGCGACCAAAATCCACCTGAAGAATCGGAACAAACAACTAGCGATAAAGAAGTTTCTTCTACAGCTAATCCTCTTGAAATGATATCTAAAATACCATCGACTAGTTCGGAAGTAATTACTGTATCTCGAGCATCTTCGAATGAGAACACCGGTTACGAAAATGTTGAAACAACAGAATTTATATTGACATCATTTGGCTCTTCAGAGACGGCGACTGATGCTGTAGAATTAATAAAAATCTCTGCCAGTCCTGAGAAGAGTGCATCTATAATAGAAGCTAACAATAATAAAGATAATGTATTGACGGATCTTATTAATTTAGTTAGTGACGTAGCCGCTATGAGCGACCATACTGTTGAACCAGCAGCTATTCAACAAACAACTACTACTGCTCGTATTTCTGACTCCGAAGAACTGATACCAGTCAACGCAGGCTACAAAAGCAAGAACAAAAACTTTAATCAAAACTCTATCACTGAAATACCTCTTAAAAGTAAAAATCCAAACACTCTGAACAAACAGAAGATAATGGAGATTGAGGATGACGAATCAGAAAGTGTGACAGATGCACCTGCACCTAACGACAAAATAGAACCGACCACTCGCCGACCTATCATAGACAACGTATCGGATGACATCAATATCGCCTTCAATAAAAGCGCTAAGAAAGACATCGAGATAATTACACAGTCGTATGTACCAACTATCAACCGGCGGCCTCCCAAAGTTGTCATGAAGAAGAACGATGAGAAAGTAGCGACTGATGACTCGACTAGGATGACGACAGAAACCACGTTGTATACCAGCTTGTCTAATGAGACCCCCCCTACGACAAGTGCCGAGTCTAGTGCGTCGGCTGAAATGAGTTCACCGGTCGAACCGAGTAATCCTGTCGAATCGAGTGTTCCGAATGTTGAATCTGAGCAGAACGTGGAGCCACAATCTCAGGACTTCAATTTGAACATGACGACCGACCGGACGGAATCGACACAGTGAGCGGCCACTAGCTCACGAACGTTGATGGAACCTCAGCTAATCAGCATTTTATAGAGTAAGTTTCGTTCTTGAAACTGTAAGTTTACGTAGAGACTATTAGGTATATAGGTGTACGCGTCCCTTTCGGAATCCATCATATTCCTCGTCAATTGATCACTAGGGTGGGAAGTCCCGCCCTAGGCTATTTATAATTCGTATCATAAGTAGACGGCCGGGCTGCTGGTCGATTTTATGTGTATTAGCTGGACAAATTATTTATAATACTTTAGCGTAAGGAGCGAGCCGAACGGCCGCGTTGTGTCAAGTCGCGAGGCGCACGGAGCTCCTCGCGTTAGCGGATAAGTTATTTATTTGTTTAGTGAGAGATCGTGAGTAGGGTGATCGATAAAGTAAGCAACCAAGCTAGTCATCATGTGACAGGGCCGGCGCATGCCGCACCTCAACGCCACGTTGCCATTACTTCTAGCTGTATTTAACATGACAACCGCAGACATTACGTAACGTTAAGACATTCCAGTTAGACTTAGTTCCTCCGTGTTGGGTAAGAACAAGCTGTAGCGTCCGCGTCAAGTGTCATCTATTTCACTAACAAAATTTTGGTACAAAACGAATTTGATATTTAGAATATTGCCAACCTTTTGAAAGTTTAGAACTAGACGAATTAGAATTAAATTTGATGCACGTACGGTTTATTTATTGCACTTAGAGGTGGTGTATAGTGAAACGAGAGATGTACCGGGAGGCTCAGTCGTAGAGTAAGCTATTTATTGTAACTAGGTAATGTACGTACATTGTAACGTTTACCGTTCATAAAATCGTTTCGTTCCAATTGTCTGCTACGGTCAGTTCATTAGTTGTCTCCTGTATGTAAGTGCAGGCGCACACGACCCGCTGCTCGCGCGGTGAGTCGTGTGCGGCGGCATTTAGTGTGGCTTCTTGCTCCGGAAGACTACCACTTTTCCCGGGCAATAAGCGCACGTGCTCACTGTATTATTTAATTATTAACAATTAATTATTGTTTTTTTTACAAATAAAAGAAACCTAGACTGATATTTTGTTTCATTTCTCTCATTACTTAACATCTCACGTGATGCTGGACACTATAACGGGATAGAATTCAATGAGATGATTAATCATAATGAATAATTACAAAATAATAAAGAAGATTCTACCAGCAAACAGCTCTGAAATGGTATAAATGCAGTAACCAGTGTATGAACTTCAACACCGCGAGTTCGGTTCAATTGAAGCATTTTAGCCATTTTTTTCTAGATAGCGTTTTTATCAATTCTTCTTATGAAATTTGATATTTTAGAGAATAAAATACCTATACTTATTCATCAATCATCATAATCAACAGCCTCTAATAGTCCACTGCTGGACGTAGGCTTCTCCTTAGAAAGGATGTTTTGGCCTACTATACCACGCTAGCCAGACGGGTTAATTTAGAAATAGGACACTTTTATCCGTTATCTTTGGACACTTTTATAAGAGACAATTAAGAAAGCAAACTACGCAGGATAACAGCACTGCAAAGAGAAGGAAAACTTGGCACAACCCTTATGCCAACCCGTCTAGCGCTGTTGACACTTGACCCACCTTTCTGTCATAGATATAATAGGCAGACGCTTTATAGCATATAGCAATATTTTCAATGCCAGAACTAGGCGTTTCGAAATAGATGTTGCATAAAATATATTCATTAAACTTCTTTTTAATATTTATCTACTGTGATACCGAAAGGACAGTGTTTATAGCCTTCATCATCATCAATAGCCTATCATCAATCTCGATCGATTTTCAGCTTCTCGCATCCAGCAAACTTTATAGCCTGACCGGAGACAAAAAATGTATTATGTCGTCGTTAAACTACTAATAGTTCGATTACTAGTTCCTAGATGGCATTACTGCGTCGGTTTACTCAGCCTGACAAGTTTTGACAAGTTTTGACAGAGTCTATTTATTCAGCCAATTAGCAATGCTACGAAAACTTTTACAGTAAGCTTTGGTTTTACTGTCATCCAATGACATAAAATTTCAGATTATTTGCTTTACTTTTAATTGTTACTATTTCTTTTTTTAGATCGTTATTTAGTGAAATTGGCAATATAAACTGTAATTCATTCAGTCCTGGATTTGAGTTTGATAGTTGATAGTGATCTAATATATCAATGAGGCATACTGATACAAGAGACAACAATTTGTTCTCATTTAGAATAATTATAATACGATGCACCCACCGGCTTTGGAGTGATGAGCCTCGTTGCCTCACCGTCACCGCGAAGGTCGGAGCCTTGTATGGAATACACCTGACCCACTTGCTGCTGACGACAACGTAATTGATTACCATAATATGAATAGGTGTACATTTGCGCAAATTAATTATAGCAAAATATATATCATGTTCTACAGGAGCATAAAACCTAAAAAACAAAATTAACCATAAATACATTATTGAATCTATTTAATCATATCATAGAACATGAGTGCAATAATTTATTTATTTATTGTAATTCTTTATGCACAAATTACAACTCACTTGTACAATGGCGGACTTAATGCCACATGCATTTTCTCCCAGTCAACCTTTGAGTGGTAGGGAAATGTCTGAGTTTTGTTTTAAAAAGATCATAATTATACTTAATTGCGGAGATGGACATAAGCAGTGGGACAGATATATTTAAATACATACTAAAATACACATACACATATAATTGCTGAGTAACATACGTACATATAAAATACACAAACAATATACCTATTAAACTTTATAGTTGTGATGAATTATATAAATACTAAGATATTTTTGTGCTATTTAATCAATTAAGGTGGTAAATAGTTCCAAAATTTGAAGAAGTGTGTCGAATAATCTTATAGATATCGATTTAGATCGGATACATTATCGAAAATGTTATTTTCTCTAATTCGCTTCTCCTTCTTTAAAAGTAACGGAAATCTCCTGAAATTGAATCGTGCTATGGAAAGAGTATCATGTAAGGTTTGCCGTTCGTAATACCGAACAAGTCAATATCAATATACTTGCTCCGTGGATCAGCTTTTATTACATTCCCCTTCCTGTTGACCCTTAATGCTCTGACATCGAAAATAGGAAGAGGCACCTTGGTGCATGATGTTTGCTGACATCATTCCGTTGGTGGTAAAGAGAAATTTTAGCGTGGAGTGGAAAAATGGCAACCAACGCTGAAAAGTGTTGGCTTGAAAATCAATTGAAACAAAACCGAATATATTATACTATGTGAGTTCATTGGAAATCAAGTACCTCGACTTCCGACCACAGTTATAATAACATTACTTGCAGTGTAATTTGGTACGTGCGAGTAATAGTTGTTCGTTTTAAATGAACGTTATCAGTACTGATTTCTGGCCCATATGATAGAACCTTGGCTAAAGCTCTCAAAAATTAATAGGTATATGTTAAATGCCCCAGGTCACCCCCAGGCAATTAACATATACCGAGGCCATCTGCCACCCTAGCATAAGCAGGGCGCTGTCCACAGCGGCGGTGGCAGATAGATTATGTTATTGGTGTTTGCCCAACAGGAAGCAGAATGAGAACACCGTAGTTCCCACACACGAGGGGGTCATCTACAAGCCGTAGATGGCCCGGGGTCCATCGGGATAGTAGGGAATTCCTTCCTAGGGTGCACATGGTTCTCCGGCTACTAGTGCCCGAGACGGCGTACGGTTATTAGTCGGTTCGAGTCCGACATAACCACCGGTGGATGGTATCCGAAGGTATTTCCGATTATCACAGAGAAAAAAAGGTATATGTTAACTATGAATATGGTAAATATGTAATAATAATGCTGAAGATACAGTTATTTGTTAACCGTGAACAGTTTTAAATTTAAATAAGTTTGTTAATAAAGCACACAGAGATATTTACTCATCAAACAGAACTTCGACAAATACCTACAGTGTTGTTAGCTTTTATAAGTCAAAGTATTCATAAATGGATGATTAAAGTTGTTAGGTTACTGTTAAGTGAATAAAATATCTATGGAAAGAGATTTTTTGTAACATTCGTTATTAAATGTTAAAAAGTAATATTGATAGGAATCACTATGATGTTTGATACCAGTTTAAATAGTGCTTGTTGCCACGTCATTGCGTTTAGTTAGGTTATTACACACGTACAAACAAACACCCATGCTTCTCACTCATACTTATGAGCAGGCTCACCTGCCCTCCTGATCCTGAGGGGGGTGGCATTCAAAGACCGGCAAAGACGTGATCCGTCTGTTAGTCCGTGTGGTGACGGATTAAGAATACGGAGTGTCACCACCTCTATTTATGCCGTGGGTGTCCTAAGAGCCGACTTAGGGAGCAAACTATGGACAACAGCACTGCAAAGAGAAGGAAAACTTGACACAAATCCTATACCAACCCGTCTGGCCAGCGTGGTATAGTAAGCCAAAACCTCCTTTCTAAGGAGAGGCCTATTTCCAGCAGTGGACTATTAAAGGCTGTTGATGTGATGTGATCCTTCTGTTCCTTTTGCACTCTGTACCATAAAAATGAGCAATGATTGTGATGTTATTTGGTCATTTCCTTTAAAGTAACTGCAAACTAGTTAGACCAAATTACGGGTAGGTATGTCGCCCGACCAGCTCCACATATCATTCCAATATCGATCACTATAAGCACTAGGTACCCTTTCAGCAATTGCTGCTAGAAGATTATTTGATGTACTATTGATACGACATTCTTGCTTTGGTGAGATTTCTTATGCTTTTTTTCAACATCTTCAACCATCATCCTATTTCATTAAAATTTTACAAAACCCAGATATCACTTTCAGATATCACTTTGTCCATAAATGAAAACAATGAAAAATCATTTCGTATTTTTGTGTTATTTTCGACGAATTCTGAATTAGATTTCAGAAATTTTATAAAAATTCAGCAGTTTTTGATAATCTTAAACTTACAAATTAAATGTAAACCAGACTATTTAATTCATTATAGGGTTTTCCTAGA